AAATCGCGTTCAAATTTAGCTCGAATGCACGTTAGGGTCTCAAAAATATAAAAAAAATTCTACTCCATACCAATACCAATACTGTAAGCAATTAAAAAGACAAATAACTTGAGCCATTTTTTGACAGAATATTAATCGATGGTCCAACAAGGCAACAATATTGGTTGGTATGGTCATAGATGGACAAAAAAATCCGATTATTCAGCTAAATTGGTTCAGCTATTCGTCACCTGAAAAATACACATCGATCAAAAAGATCAGACCAATTTCTTATTTTGTGAAGAAAAATATGCAACATTACCATTGTTAGTAGCCAATGAATCTATTCCAATTGCTCTGCAATATTAATTTTGTTTCCTTTGAAGAAAAATTTCATACAAAAAACATGTCAAATGTTGCCAGTCGAAAAAATGTTGAAAAAAATGTGTCTTGCAAAATTTGATATGATTTTTGCAAGACACATTTTTTTTCAACATTTTTTCGTCTGACAAAAAATGACATGTTTTTTACATGAAACTTTTTTTGCGATTTTTTTTTGCACCAAAAGTAATAAGATACTTATTACAATCTTATTACTGTAATAAGATGATCTTATTACTTATTACGCATCTTATTACTTGTAATAAGATGAGTAATACCGGTGTGTAAATATGAAACCGGGATTTGTCAAAAGATGGCGACAGCGACAAATGTATGACCTGTCAAACCAAGTCAGCTATCTTTTTTTTAAGTTTTGATATCTGCCAACAACATCCAATCATAAAAATTACAAGTTTCATACAACCACGCGTTTTTTTCTGTGTTAATTATGTCGACTTTTGTGCCAAATAACAACGATTTGCGGACATCATTGCTTTTCTGCTTTTTATTAAAGAAATCTGCGGCCGAATCGCACCGTATGCTCCAGGAAGCTTACGGAGATCATGCTCTTGGTAAATCCCAGTGTTTTGAGTGGTTCAAGAAGTTCAAAAGTGGTGATTTTGATGTGAGAAATGAGGAACGCGGCCGGCCCCCGAAAAAGTTTGAGGACGTCGAATTGCAGGCTTTGCTGCATGATGATGATGGTCAAACGCAAGAACAACTCGCAGAACAATTAAATGTGACCCGTGAATGCATTTCCAATCGTTTAAAAGCCATGGGAAAGATCCGGAAAGTCGGTAGATGGGTGCCTCATGAATTGACCGATCGACAGCAAGAAAACCGAAAAACCACTTGTGAATTGCTCCTCTCCCGGTACGAAAGAAAGTCGTTTTTGCATCGTGTGGTGACTGGCGATGAAAAGTGGATCTATTTCTCCAATCCCAAATGCAAATTTTCATATGTTGACCGTGGCCAACCGGCCCAATCGACGCCACGCCCGAATCGTTTCGGAAAGAAGGCAATGCTTTGTGTCTTCTGGGATCAGCGCGGTATTATCTGGTATGAGCTGCTCAAACCCGGCGAAACGGTTAATTCTGATCGTTATCGACAACAACTGATCGAATTGAACCGAGCCATCAAGAAAGATCGCCCGGAATACGACGCCAGACAACATCGAACGATTTTGCTTGATGACAATGCACCGCCGCACCGTGGAAAACCGGCCAAAGAAACGGTAGAGCTGCTTAATTGGGAACCATTATCGCATGCGGCTTACTCACCAGACTTAGCTCCTTCCGATTTCCACTTATTCGCATCGATGGGTCACGCACTGGACGAGCAGCACTTCGATTCTTACGAAAATTTAAAAAAATGGATCGATGATTGGTTCTCCTCCAAACCCGGAAAATTCTTTTGGATGATGAATTTGAATTCAGATGTAATTAATGCAGGATGAGATAAAATTGTTTAGCCTAAACCACACGAAAAATTGATGTTCTCATAAGGCAAATAAAATAGAGTGATATCGTCTGTCATATTTGAGACTCACTATTAATAGGAAGTCTGAGTTGATTTCAGTCAATGCACAATAATTTCGATGGGATTAGAATTTGGATTTTTGGGATTTTTTTAGTGTAATTTGAACTAAAAAATCCATCGGAATTTTTTTAGGTAAAATTGTGGATTATTTGTAGTTCTTTTTATTTTCTACAAATAAGCCGAAGACACCTAATCGTTATCTATTTCCTGTAGTGAGAAAAATGCAAAAGACGTCTTTTTCGGTCAATGCTGAGTTGTGTCACTTTTGTTCGCAACGTTATTTGCGTTTTTTTGCTCTAAGTTATTTTTCCATCAGAGTTATGGATAAAGAGCTAATAAGTTGTTCTTTCAATCTATGGATGTCAATTGAACATCTTATTATTTTACAATGCTGCCCAAACTATTGGCCACTTGGTCACTTGCGGCCACG